TAACTTAGATAGTTTAGGATATAATTATATCTGCTTTGATCTAATAAAGATACCAACAAGCTGCCAATATGTTAAAAAAAAAAAAAATTTAATTTTAAATTTTCTATAACTTTGTATTAAGATAATAGAAGTTAAATCTTAAATTTTTATTAAGCAAAACTAAAAAAAAAATTTTTAAAATTAAAATTTTTTTAAAAAATTATAATTTTTTTTTTTTAAATCTTCAAAGATGAGGCCATGAAAATTATAAATTTTTCTCTGTATGCAATCTTAAATTTTTTATAAATATTAAACAAATAAAAATAAGGTTTAAATAGTATATAATCATAGTTTATATTTAAAAAAAAATTATAATATTTTTATTTTTAACAAAAATGAATTTATAAAATTTAAGCAGACGAATTTGCCTGCTTAACTAGACGGTTTAAGGGATAGATCTCGATTTTTATTTGTTATAATGTTATAATCTTTAGCAGATATATAAGATTAACGGGTAGATAGTTTAGAATAAAATTTTGTAAAAAAATTTTTATAATATAATTCTAAAAAGGATTTAAATCAATTTTTTTTTATATGTAACCGAAAAATAGCTCTGTAACTTTGTAAAGACAGTAAATTTTATTCTAAACTATCGAACCGTTAAGGCTAAAATTCGCTAAAAATTATACCGATACGCATAAAAATTTTAAAAAATAAATTTTTATATTATAGTTTTGATTTACATGGTATCGCATCTTAAATATTTCGCATCCACCGCATAATTGACCCCGGTCGCATCGCATAATTTACCCTTTCGCATCGCATAATCCTGGACACCCTAGGTACTAGGCAGGAGATCTTGTACGTAATCTCGACATTTTTTTATTTATACATGGGGGGTCAACGCTAAATTTTTATGTAGTCTAAAATATGGTTTATAAAGTGATTATATACAGTCAACTTTTTCTAAGTGCAACCCCTCTAAGTGCAACTTCTTTCTAGATGCAACTTTAACTTCGCCCCAAGTATATGCTTGGTATATGTTTTGTCTCTATAAATGCAATTGTTCTCTAAATACATGTTGCTAAAAGTCCGGTCCCAATAAATTGCACTTAGAGAATTAAAAGTCACGCGGCACATATAAAATACCATATACAAGGCTTCATTAGTAAATTTTTGTGAATGCCCGGCCTACTTCGACCGGTATATACGTATGTTGCCTCAGATATTAACTGGCCCAAATTAGTGTTAGAATTAGGGCAAGAATGTAGGTATAATTTAGGCCGATCAGTTAATGCCGGCCAAACAGTTAATATCTGAAGTGTCGTAGTTGTCATCTGCACAACATAATAACATACCGAGATGCATGTAAGTACTAAAACTGCGCATATAATGTCTCAAAAAATTATTTATTTATACGTAAATAAAAAAAGTAACCACTTACTCAATATATAGTTTAGTAGTTTATTTAAATTCTTTTATCTAACCTTGCAGGATGATCTATAATAGGTCAATCATTATGCAACATTCACGAATAAATAAAACTTAGGTGTTTTCTCCTCCGAAGATACAACGTACATATGTATAATCACTATAGGGATTTTGGTATCTTGTAAAAAATAAAATCAATTTATTAAAGCTGTTCTCAAATTGAGGCAAACAAAAATTTGGTTTGTTTGTTTCTTCTTAGGAATCATCTAATTCTTCAGAAAACATGTCGATTTCGACCGGAGACGCCGATGTAATTTCCGGAGAGTTGGAATACACAAATTTTTTAGTTCATATCTATATCAGAATTTATGAAACAGCTGTAAAGTTATTTAATATAACTCTCTGGGTGTTATTCCAATTTAATATATTAATTTAACCAAATGCTAATCATATGAAGTTGATTAAGCATCTATCTCAACAAAGCAATCTGATTGGTCGGTTCTATCAGACGGACCTATCAGATTCTTTGTTATAAATGGTTTGGACAATCGTCTTCACAAAATGAATCTTGAATTATTATTACAGTATTAACGTTTAATATTCTCACATAAGTGTAACCTGGAATTTATCCTAAGAAAACAATAACGTGTAACGAATGTGTTATATACAATTTCACTTATCAGTCGATTTATTCGCTGCCTCGATAAAAGGCTTATCGTAAATGCAAATGTATATCAATAGTGCAATAATATATAATCACTAGAAAAAAAAACGCATATAATTCAAGCTAAAACGTTTTTTACAAATAACTTGTTACATAATAACACAAATGAACAAAATGAACAAAGTAATCAAATCTTAGGCAATAATTGCCTTTAAAACAAATGAACAAAATGAACAAAGTAATCAAATCTTAGCCAATAATTGCCTTTAAAAGCTTTAAAAGCTTTTCAGAAAATTTCGAAATAATATATAATTGACAAATAAATTGAAACGATTTATTAATACAATAGTGTAACACACAAGGGTTTATTACCGTCTAAAGTTAAGGTACTGTAACAGCCAAGTCCCACGTAAATACTTGTCATTTTCGCCGCTTTTCCCGCCGGAAATCATCTATTCGTTTCTTTAATTCAGTATCTAAAATAAAATATGTAATTAGACAATATTCTCCTTTTTATAATTTAATGTTTTAACTTACTTGGTATAACTTGATCAATTGTCAATGGCATTCGATTAAAGGGATCTGTTGAATCACTTAATAAGTGTGTTGTGATAGTGCTTCGATCGACACTTACTCTTGATCCAGGTAAGATTACAGGATCTTCCATAATAGAGAATAAAACCGGATCTACATAATATCATATAACGTTAGTTAATGTAACTAAAAATAATGTTTAAGAATAATGTGTTAACTAGTCCGTTTACCCAAAAATTCCTCTGGAACATCACCCAACTCTTCCTCTCCTTCAATTTCCAATTTAATTGTTTTTTCTACTTCATTAACAAATTTCTCCAGCACACTGACATTCTTCTCTGAATTTAATCCAAATTTCAATAAAATACTAGCTGCTTTTGAAAAATACGTTCTATCGTAACTTCTACGATCCCTTGCGACTGCTTGTATAAATTCTTTATGTTTACATAAATTCAAATAAATATTAACCAATTGCGACAATAAGTCTTTAGGTTTAAAACTGTATGTCTCTGGATTTCTAACTTTAAGTTCTGTACATTTTGGCCCAACTAGTGACTTTAAATTATAATCCAACATCGCTGCCAATCTTTCAACCATTTGAGGTGTAAGGAATGGGTCCGCAACTTCAGACGTCATATATACCAACATGTTTACTGTTTCGTTTCCAAGTGACATGTAAGAAGTTGCTGATCGTTCATCAGCACGGAGTGTGCTTTCGCGCTCTTGGCGATATTGCTATCATATTTATTTTTTATTACAAGAAAATCACATTCATACGATTAATACAATGTATTATGACAAAAAAAAATAAAGTTCGTTAACAAACCTGTGGTTTACTTTCCCACTCTTCCCTATTATCCATTTCGTTTTGTATAGAATGGATTTCTGCAAGCTTCCTTAAGCTTTCATCTAATAAAAAGGTAACGTCATTCATCAACAAATTTGCAAATCGGACAAAGGAATCAATGTTACTGTAAATGGAAAAAAAAATATATGCATTAATTCGTAATGAGTTTGTGCAATAATAACATATAGAAATCATAAATATTCTAGTAGAGATGCAGGTTTATAGTGACTGAATTACTTTAACAAAAAATAATAAATATGCATCTCTATGTTATAATATTACAAGACCGTTTAATAAGACTCACCGACTCTCTTCTTTCAATTTTTCCTTATGTATATGGTTACCCCATATCTCCTTGAATATTTGTGAAATATTATATCGAATGTTAAATTTGTCATAAAATTGCGTATGTACACCGGTTTGTTCCACCTCTAATAGTTTGAATTAGTTTATATCAATTAAATAATTAAACAGATTGCAAGTGATTTATAAAAACAGACTCTTACCGACATAAAAGGACATCAGAGCTGGTAACAAATGATTCAGAGCAAGAGGATGTGAATTTAATAAATCTACTATACCACCTTCACGATCGTTGCGAAATGTAAAGTAGAACAAAATCTAAAAAAAAAAGAAATAATGGAACAAAAATGATTTGTTAGATCATTTTTTCAAAGGAAAACCTTAATTGAGAAATTATAACGTACTTCTACTAATTTGGCTTTCAAATAGGGCTTCTTAATATAAGATGAAGATTTGAGAAAAGTGATAATGAAAACTATCAACACATCTTGAGAGGCAACACACGATCGTGGAGTATACCTAAGCACAAAGAAATTAACACTATATCGAAGAGTAATTAATTATTATAAACAATCAAAAAAATTTAGTTACTTTGCGACAAAGAGGAATAATTCAGTTACATCTTCAAAAATATATTCAGGCAACATAGCGAACGTATCAGGTGGTGTTGGAGGAAGCGGTAACCTATACATGCATAATAAGTATAATTGATTCGGCATATTTATAGAAATTAAATTTCAAGGCAATTAAAGGATATATACTGTATTTGTTTTTCTGGATGTTTTCCAGTGGGATCAACGATTCTAAGCATCCAATTCATTACTAGATTGTAAAATTTAAGTGAATGATCCAAGTAAACTTGATCCAAAAGTTGGGTTTCGTATGCTATTCTGTGTGATGTAAGTTTTTCAAGCTGCGTCTATGATTTAATTATATAAGTTAGTGAAATTCAATAGTGAAGATTGTTCATTGAACATTACGAACTTTACAATGTGCCAATATCTCTTCATTTCTTGCAGCCATCGGAGTCTAACGGTGGAAAATGTTAAGATAGATCATCATCCGTAAAACTGAATATTAAACGCCTTCAAGGCTTTAAGTCAAATATATATATACATACCCCTGCCCAATTATGTTGATCAGCTCTCATTCGATCATATTGTTTTTGGAGCTCTGATATATCTCTGATGAAAGCATTATATTTTTCATAGCAATGTAATGGACCATAATGATGCATTGTAATTGTAAGAAAAAATATTTCAGATACAAAGTTTGGAGCTATTATTGACACAAGAATTAATTAAAAAAAAAAAATTCAATCGTCATTTCAAGATTAACTAAGCGTAATCGTTACCAGACGCGCTTTCATCTACTATCGAAAAATACGCATCTGCTTCTTGTTTAGTAGCCTTAATTTTGGTCTCCCGACTAATATCAATTCGATTAGATTTACGAAAATAATTGACATCTATGCGATCAATCTTTGAAAAGAATATATATATCATAAATAATTTTAGTTCTAACTTGAATAATAAGAGAAGAAATAGTTACCTTTGGATTTAGCAAATCCATAATGGGATCTGCAAAATGTAATAATACACTCGTTAAATTCATTAAAAATCCATCAGTTCCGACTTGTAATGGGTCAACCTGAAGTTTCGGCATATATAAAATAAAATTTACTATTGAACCAATAAACGTGTGAGAAATAAAGCTGCAATGATATTAACCTGTATCTGAACCCTTCGCTCGTTTAATTTAATGACCTCAGAAAAATAACCAAGTACAGCCTCTCTAGCTGATGGCGAGGAACGAACAATATTATTAAAAATTTTGAAAATAGATTGCTATTCACTCGTCACATAATTGTAAGAAAAAATATTTCAGATACAAAGTTTGGAGCTATTATTGACACAAGAATTAATTAAAAAAAAAAAATT